ACGTACTGGTTGAAGTACGTACGTGAGTTCATTAGTACTCTAGTACGACACTATAACGGGCAAATTGGTGGAATGGACATTATTGTGGAGATAGACGAATCCAAATTCGGAAAGCGGAAGTATAACAGGGGTCACAGAGTAGAAGGTTCTTGGGTCTTTGGTGGGGTAGAGAACACTCCGGAACGTCGCTGCTTTGCCGTTGTGGTGGACAAAAGGGATGCTTTGACTCTGATTCCTCTAATTAAGCAGTTCATTGCCCCTGGTTCTATTATACGTAGTGACTGTTGGGGAGCTTACAACAGGATCGAGGATGTCACCATTGATGCCGGTTATGGCTACACTTTACCCATGTATGAGCACCAGCAAGTCAACCATGAACGGGGATTTAAGGACCCTGTAACCGGTGTTCACACAAACACTATTGAGGGTACGTGGTATGGTGTAAAAAGGAATGTCCCGGAACGCTGTAGAACCAAGAAGCAGCTCCAAGGCTGTTTATTTGAGTTCATCTGGAGAAGAGACCATGAGTGCGACTTGTGGAGTTCTCTGATGAAAGCACTGTCTAGTGTTGTGTACGAGGATTAGGCCTCGCCAGTGTACTTAAAATTTTATAGTGGACATATTTTTCTTACCCAGGACTGCTTTTCGTACTGAAATCGACACACTAAACAATGGTCGACATCACCCCTAGTTAATTACTGCATATTATCGACCTGTGCAGTCATTCATTTTACGATCTGAGTGGAATGGCAGGTTTGTATAAGGGGATGTTGAATCGCCGGTCCGGCTGCCTAAGTACCAAAATCGCTGATCTAAGTGTCACTTAATTGGATTATTACTGCTGGATATAATTATATTCTGGAAATCCCGAAGACCGCTCCAGAAAATGGTTGGGGATACACAAATAGGAGAGATCCGCTTCTCTACATAATAGACCGAGCAATTTTGACCGCCAATTGATCCGAGAGCATAAAGTAGAGGCAAGTGTGCGTCTAAGAGGAACGGTTCGCTTGCTTGAGCTCTCTCCGTGGAGCCTTGAGCCCAAACCACTTAGTACTCCAGCTCGTAGCTCTAGCCATAGTGTAGACAGGGGTAGACAATAGCCCTGTAGGTTCCTACAATGTCATTGCTAGCTTGCCCACCTAGCTTTATGAGTCTGGCTATAATCTGTCGTTGCTTTGCCGCCAGCATTATAGTTGCGTCGATCGCACGGTGCCTCCGATAAAAGTTTGTCCTCCTGGTAACGCTAACCCTACCTTTCGTGGAAAGATATGGATCGTGGAACGACAATATGCCATCTGGCAATCCTTTTGGTGGTTACTGATAGTTGCTCGATGCCCTCAGGTATCTGTGACACACTTTACATGATTTCAAGAGCAGGTAAAGACGATCGCGTCAGTAAAGGACAAACCCACAAGTGCTTGCATGGAGTGTGACAGCAGTATTCTGTGAACCCCAAATTGTTCCGTGGCGTTCCTCACCTATCTGGATCTTTTTGCGGATACCTCTGTTGCGTCCTGTTCTCACAATTTGTTTTGTAAATCCAACACAACGCAATCTAATCGTTCTTTTAACCACACAACATTTCTTTGCCAAAATGAAGTTCGCACTTGGTGTTCTCGCCCTCGTCTCGGCTCCGGCCATGGCATACCAGGTTGGTGGTCCATTCGATGTCTTTGGTCGTCCCTACGTGGTCAGTCCTCGAGGACGCTTTCAAAACAACTTTCGCCGTCGTCGTCGCTTCTGCGATAACAACAATTGCGTGGATCGAGCCTTTGAAGACCTGAACAAGGAGATGAATGAGGACAGTGCTCGTCGTCGCACGGAACAGTTCAATAAGTACTGGAACAAGAATGGAATGGATGAGGAATCGCTCCGTCAACAAGAGGAATGGATCAACCGCGCTTTCGGCCTAGCGACGGATGTTGCTAAGGGAATGGCGACGTCGCCCCGAGAGGCGGAAGAAGCCAAAGAAGCGATTCGTCAATCCAAAGACATTTTGGACAACATCATGAAATTTACCAAGGATGCTTCCTCTGGTCGACCCTACACTCCTGTGCAATCCGAAGTGGTTCAAGATGACGATCAAGCCTTTCAGGTAAGCATTGATGTCCCTGGTGTGAAGGCGGATGATGTCGATGTGGCCGTGGAGGGAGTCAAGGAAAAACTTTTGGTTGTCCGTGGTCAGAGAGATCTCGGAGGCTCTAAGGACGAGGATGGAAAGGTTCCCACCAAGGACTTTCGTAAGGTGTTCGCTCTTGACTCAACCTCTGTCATCGACAAGATATCTGTGATTCTCGAAAATGGAGTCTTGACGGTGACTGTTCCCAAGGATGCCACGTTGAAGGTGGAATCCACCGTCAAGATCCCTGTTGCCAAAATTGCGGACGACGACGCTAAGGCAGCTCCTTCGGACGGTCAGACTTTTGAGCTGGAAATGGATGTGCCTGGTGTGGCTGCGGCCAATATCGACATCACGGTAGAGGGGGAATCCTCGGACAAGACGTTGATGATTATAGCCACGAGGGAGTTAGTAGGCAAGGACAGCGATGGCAACCCAAAGAAAAAGGAGATGACCAAGAAATTCAGTATTGATGAGATCGTTGACACGGAGAAGCTTGTAGCCACCTTGAACAATGGAGTGCTACGAGTTTCAGCTCCAGTCGATGTAAAGAAGACGGAAGATTTCATCAAGAAGATTGACGTGACTCAAGCAACAGACTCTGAGAAACCTGTAGATGTTAAGGCTCCCGAAGATCCCACTGATGAAGGCAATGAGGCTTCCAACTGAGGCACACAGACTTTGAGAAAACTGTTGATGGGTCAAGGCTCCAGAAGATTCCACCGATGAAGGTAATGAGGTTTCCAACTGAGGGTGCTGTACACGGTGTGCTTTCGTTAGGCCAGAATAAAGCTCAATAATATTTATTTGAAGCCGCAGATCCTCTCAGCTACATAGAAACTGCCGTACCGTTGTGTTAGAGCAACAGATAGAGGGATCGTGGAAGCACGAGCTTTCACAGATAGGACTTGCGATTGAAGTTCCCGTGGCAGAAAAATACTCCAGTTTCTCTTGAAAAAATCTTTCTAAAAACAGTACTGTACTCATCCAGGTACAAAGTCATCTACAGTGTGAGGCGGATCTTAAGCTCGAAGGAAGGGAAGTGCACGTGGAACAATCCGATTGCATTCTTGTGCTCCTGCTCGTTGGTGCCTCGTGACCACACACAAGAGCGGAGATCTACTACGCAGATAAGTAGTTAGCCCAGAGTGTGCTTTCATTTGCATTGATACTGCTGAAAAGCAACATAAGCTTTGAGGCTTTCAACCCATTAATCAACACATCTTTATGATGCCGAGGTGCAAAAGCCAGCAGCTACCTCAAACTCGATTATTCAACCCTGCAAGATTGCCTCCTGACTAATGCCAAGATCCGCCAATTCCCTCTGAAGCTCAAGGATAGTGGCATGTTGGATATCATGTCCCTGCTTGCCGAGCACCTCCTTCAACTTTTTGGTTCGGTACTTCTTCTGGCCCCTTTGGAGCTCTTGTGCATTGGCGTGGTGCGTTCCATTCTCATTCATACCGCATACAAGAACATGCTGGTGGGATGTGCTTGAATCTGGAAAGGGATCGTGGCAGTATCCACAAAACCATTTTCGGCAGGATTCACACAAGATCGCCATGCAACCATCAAACTCGGCATATGGGGTCCGACAGTGAGGGCACATGAGATTGAGGGTCTCGTTCCGCACCTGACGAGCGATCCTTTCCACCGTCTTCTCCACCGTGGAATCGCCATTCGAAATACTGACATCTTGCGCTCGGATCTGCTGGCTCTGCCGCTGCGCCTCGGAAACGGCCGAGTTGAGCTTCGCCCATTCGGAAATCGATAAGAAACCTTGGAGTTGAGGGAGTGACATCGTGGAGGTACATACAGGACAGAGAACACACGCCCTTTGAAAGCGGAGAGAGCAGATCTGGGCGTCGACCATGGCGTCAACGCAACAGGGGGAGTTGTCTCCTGCAGAACAGAAGAAGTGGCCTTGGGGGCACATAATGCCTTGAGCTGCGCTGCGGCGCTGACAACAGGCCGTGCAAACGAGAGTACCTGTTGGTTTTGACATCGTCTAAACTTGACCCTTTGAAATTTTATAAAGCGAAATGCTTTTCAAAGTAGGCAGATGAATATCTATTCCTTGTGAGTTGCCAAGTTGTGAGAAGTGAACACAATGCATGCGTTGGCACGATGCAAGGTGCAGGTTGGGCACTGTCACAACCATCCGTGGATACTCCGGCAAAACGGGCCAGTCAATTATAATTGATGCAGCTAACGGATGAATCCCGAGATCGATCGACGAAGGCACACAAGAGCTAATAAAAACTACGTGCATGTACTGTATCTATGTCAGATTCAGCCTCCATAGCCCATGAGTTCCATCTAGTTACTGTAGCTACGGTACCGCATCGTATTCTGGTCTATTGGCTGCATCAGGAGGATCAAGCCTTGTGCTGCGTCAACTGCATCACCCACAAACGAGCGAATTGAAGGATTTGATCTGCGGCCATCATATTTTGAATACTAGTAGGTCCAATCCCTACAGCTTCCCTACCTGGTACTAGCTAGCTAGAAGATCCAGCAGTAGAACGAAGCCTGCATCAGACTTCTCAGCACTCATAAGCAGCCACCATGTTTCTGATGAGGGAAAACAGTATTGGGTCACATACGGTGCATCTACAGCACGCGTTTTATGTATTGTACATGGTAGAGGTAGCTCAAAATTTCAAAATAGCGGTGGAATGCAAAAAGCACTCTTTTTGTGGGCTGCCAAAGGGTTCGTTTCTTTCGCAAACAGCAAGTGCGTACTGACATAGCTCACCATCTGCTCACCATGCACCATTGCCCCTTTCAACAAGAAGAAGTGTTGTACTGTATTCGGTCACTTCTACAGAGCACAGAGGACGCGTTTTATGTATGACTTGGCTCAAACAGCTCTGATGCAAAAAACACCCTTTTGCCCCTGTGGCTGCCACTGCCACAGGGTTCGTTTCTTTGGCTCGCAAACAGCAAGTGCGTACTGACAGAGCTCAGCAGTTGCTCACCACAAACAACATTGCCCCTTTTCAACAAGAATAAGGGTTCGCTCTGGAGGAAATTAGTTTGTTCGCATTCTGCAGTTTCTCGATTCAGTGTCTGTGCCTACTATGATAGTACCGTACCTGGTACTGAGATTCAGCTTGGGGTTAAAACTTCACCTGATACATCTAAAGAAGCAGCAGTATCCAGTTACTACAGTGTAGGAGGATCAATCGCTTCAGCTGACTGGGGCAAGCTCTGGGGCAAGCGGCTGGTGGCTTCACATGAAAAATAATGCTACTACTAGCTACCTGGCACCGGTAACTAGCACAAGCTTTACCATGACTACAGCATTTGTGTGCCCCAACTGTGGCTATCTACCTACGGTACCGGTAGGTGTGTCAAAGATCAAGGCTCACAGGGCAATCACAGGTCCGGGCTACCAGGGAAATCAAAATCGAGAAGATTACAAAAGTAAAACTACTAAAATCGTATGAAGATTACAGCTTCAAGGTCTCGTCACTGCCTTGGACAGCTGTTGGACTTTCCTTTGGGATTCGTTTCTTTTTCCAACGAACAGCACTTTCCCACAATTCCCACATACTGTCAACCGACACATAACACACTCTCCAATCAGCAGTCGCAGATCAGGACAAAAAACTTAGAAAGAACAGCCGTGAGAATAAAGGGCGAATGTGAGAACGGTAAAGGGTCTTTGTTAGATCTCCAGCTAGACTGGTAGCTACCAGTATACTTGTAGCCAGCTACTACGAGCAGCTCTGGGGGGCTCAAAGAGTAACACTCGACATAACATACTACATGTACTGTGTCATCAAGCAATCGAGTGCAGTTTGTAGTTAGTAGAAAGTGTTTTGCTGTACAGAAGCCACAGTACTCTGAGTAGTAGGTGATGGAAATGAAGTGATGAGAGAGCTTCTCCAGTGCAAGCCAAGTGCGGAACTCTTCTTCTCTGCTCTCATCTAGATAGGCAAACCACACTAACTCAGCGTCACTGGAGAAGATCTAAAGTCACTCCGCAATGCCAGACTCTTTGAGAATGCGTCTTTGCAGAAAAAAGGGACCGAAAGCAAAGCGACAGTGAGGGCTTTTCCACAAACATTCCACAATTTGCTTTACTTGCCTTTTACAACCAAAACCAAGAATGTTTTCTTCTCAACCTCATAGGATCACCACAAGGATGGCGTTGCCAAGAAGAGATATTCCGTTGGTCATCTTCGTCCCTTCGCTATCAGGAGAATGCTCCCAACAAGAGAGCCACGACGGCACGGAGGAGGATCTTGAGAGGAAGCTGCACGACTTCCTGGGTGCCGAAATATCGGAAAAACCAACCTGTCGTAGCCGGAAACCGACACATAGATCGCCCAACCGAGAATCCTTTTCTCGAGTGCTTCCACGCTCTCATCATCAAGCGTCTCTGGACAGTCCTCCATTACGACCCACACGATTCTACGAGAAGAACGATTGCATTGGAAGTCCGCCTCGTCTGCCTCGACGACAGGCAAGTTTCGGAGCGCTGGCACACAGAGAGGAATTCGCGAACACTGAGTGACAGTCAACTTTCTGCTAGGGATACTACAAAGACAATCACATTCAGTCTTCTATGCACAAATCACAAATCAACTGCTAATATCAAATCTGTACATACAGTATATAACATTAGAATTCTTCAACTTGGACATTGTACAGCTCTTAGCTACAAAAATTTGTACTGCATATATTGCATTCTTCAGCGTCCAGATTGAGTTTTTGCCGAGTGCTCCTTGCTTTGCCATGACGAAGCAACCAAGCTTGGTGACACCACTTGAGGTTCCCGAACCAGACTCGTGGATCAATCGAGCCCGTAGCGACTGCCTGAAGTCCTACATGTACCGTACGAGCAGCTGTGGCAGATTGACGTTGATCAGGATCACCGATGTCAAATGTCGGTTGATCGATTGCCTGATTGAGCTCTACTGAGATGCATCGGGTGTGGGAAAAGATTGAAACCGGATCGCCTCTTCTCCATCAAACCCGGCAATCCCTCTCATTGCTTCTCGAAGGCTTTGCTAGCTGACAATATATGTGTTTTGTGTTGATTGCAGAGACATGGTTCCGAAAATGTGGCTCGGATCAACCAACTAACTGCCTTGTAGCCTGTTCACAGCACGGGCAGCATCTCCTCGTTCATCATGGTCTTGCGCCTTGCTCTTGTGTTTGATTTCATTTCATCATCATCGCTTTGTTTTCTTCTTTGTCATGAGAAGACTCCGATTGTACTTGACATAGCCATTCGGCAAGTACCCAATTTGTTCCAAGAATTCTTCATTCATGACACGATAGACGGGTTCATTGTTGTGCAATTCATCCCAGTAGAGTTGTTCGTTCAAGTGTTGTGTCCATGAAACATCCAAACATCCTCCCAGTGCCGCGCACATGATTTGATCCGTGTGTGGATTGTCTTGTTGAATGTATGTACCACCACGGCGATAGGTGGTGGTCCTCCAAAAGGGTACAAATGGCTTTGTCTTGAGAGCCGTTTTCAAACTCTTTACCACTTCGGGGTTGGATGCAAATTCGGTGGAATGTTTTCCGGCATTGAGAATGACATAGTGTGGTTTCGGATGCAAGCGTTCGAGTTGATTGCGTACGACGTGTCCCCAGTCTTTGGAACTCCAGACAACGTCGGTTTGGGACAATGCGTGGACACCACCCAAGAGTCCATCCTGTTCCTTGCCTTCCATGTCGGTGATATTTTCGGAGTTGATCCGTCCTTGCATTTCATGTTCATGCCCGAACGAATGAAAAAAGCGGAGTGTATTGTTGCGAATGGGATCGTGCAAGTATCGATTGATAATGACTTGATGAGGTGCCATGCGGTAGGCATCTTGCAATCCTTTGGGGTAATAGCAGTCGCAAATTTCGTAGGGCTGCAACAATCGTGTCGTTTGGAAAAAGTATTCGCCGTAAATGTCATTGTGAAAGAGTGATTGGAAGGAGTAGACATTGGTCAAGTGTGATTTGTGATAACTGGGATCGAACCATCGACCCGTGCGCAAAAAGTAGGCCAAGGAGAGATATTGATAATGCGTGATGGAATCTCCCAACATGGCCACGTGCAAATTCGTCGGTCGGACACGCCATTGGGGATCGACATCGCGATCGATCGTGTCCGTCTTGGGGTCGACCGCATGGACGTTATGGAGACTGTGGGTGTCCAGTCGCTTGGTCGTCGCCACCAGCACCGCCACCAACGCCACCAAGAGGGCGGCGGAAACAGACACACTGGCGTACAGCAGAAAACGGTCACTTCGTCGTCGTCGACTGGAATGATGCAAGCCATCTTCTTCTGCCATGTCAACATCAAAGGCACTCATGGTGCCGTTATGGACAGGAGTTCTGGCGGCTGGAGGCATCATCTTGTATCCTATCCTCCACCACCACCACCACAACCACAACAACCAAGTCGCGTAAGTCGACGGGGCGTCCGTGGGAAGATGAAGGAGTTGCGAAGGGAAGAAAAAAATGAAGATGAGGATGCGAAGGAATGACTTTGTTCGGGACTCACATCCGTGACGCATACGTCACACGAGAGTTTTCCTCATCTTCGGGCGCAGTATCAGTTGATGGCTTGATGGCCACAAAACGTATTGTAACATTATCACCATGAGCAGTGCTACTCCTTCTTCTACCAATAGTAAAACCATCCCCAACCCACTGGGTGTGCATGCATTGACTTGGGTCGGTGGTTGGTCTCATGAACAATGCCGTCATGCCTGTCAACGCACCAAAGAGGCCGGATTTTCCGTCATTGAAATTCCCATTTTCGATTCCTTCCAAATTGATGTTCCCGATACCATCCAAGTATTACAAGACTACGGATTGACTGCCACGGTCAGTTTGGGATTGAATTTCGAACAAGACATTAACAATGAAGATCCCGAAATTGTAGCGCAAGGATTGCAAATTTTGAGACGAGCACTGGATATTGTGCATCAATTGGGAGGCACGTACATGGGAGGTGTCATTTACTCGGCACTCGGCAAGTATTCCGTGGCGTGTACTGCCAAGGCAAGAGCGAATGTGGTGGCATCTCTCAAAATTTTGGCACAAGAAGCCGCCGCCAAGGGAATTACGCTGGGATTGGAAGCCGTCAATCGATACGAAACCAATCTATTGAATACCGTCGAACAAGCCGTGCAACTCATTCGAGAAATTGACGAACCCAACATTCGAGTCCATTTGGACACGTATCATATGAATATTGAAGAGTACGATCTGGAATCACCCATCCTACAGCATGCTCAGTATATTGGCTACGTTCATATTGGAGCCAGTCACAGAGGAGGACTTGGCACCGGAAATATTGATTTTGATCAGTTCTTTGGAGCATTGGCCAAAATTGACTACCAGGGAGTCATCACCTTTGAATCCTTCTCCTCCGAGATTGTCGATGGAACATTGACCAAAGCTTTATGTATTTGGAGAAATCTGTGGCACGATAACCTCCAAATGGCAACAGAATCAAGGAAGTACATTGAAGAAAAGATTCAACAAGCACACAAACGCAAGCGCCAAGCGACAGAGGCGTCGTGGCTACCAACCACAGCCAGCTACGGGTAGCTACCAAAGTGAGTACTGCGCCGGTACTATAGAAGTAACTGATAAAAGCTAATGAGCAACCTTATGACATGCTAGTTCACTCAATGATTCTACTCGTACCAGGCCGGTTCACTCAAGGGACAGCCATTGGCAAGAACCCACTCCATTATCGCGGGAGAAGCATGTTTCGCAGCTGCATGTGTTCTATTATCCCATGGGCACCCATTCTCACGAGCCCAGATTAGAACTTCCAGATGACCACCTGCAGCAGCAGAAGCACAAGTCTCTGAATCCCACGGACAGCCATTTGCTCGTGCCCACTGCAGCCCTTCCAAACGCCCAGCTGAAGCGGCATCATCACAGGTATGCGCATCCCAAGGGCATCCATTCTCTCGTGTCCATTTAAGAATTTCCAGATGGCCAAAATATGCAGCACAGGTGCACGTGTATTCGTCCCATGGGAAGCCTTGCTCACGGGCCCATTTCAGCATTTCCAAATGGCCACTGGTGGCAGCATGGCTGCATGTAAACCGATTCCATGGGCACCCATGCTCATGGGCCCATTTCAGTACATTGAAATGCCCACGTATGGCCGCAGAATTACAAGTCTCTGCATCCCACGGACAGCCATTTGCTCGTGCCCAATGCAGCATTTCCAAATGGCCACCTGAAGCGGCAGAATCACAAGTATCTGAATCCCATGGGCACCCATGCTCATGGGCCCATTTCAATATATTGAAATGCCCATGTCTGGCAGCAGCAGAACACGTGCTGCTATCCCATTGACAATCATTCTCTTGTGCCCATTTTAGAATTTCCAGGCGACCACGTTCTGCAGCCACAGCAGCACAGGCAGCTCCATCCCATGGGAAGCCATTCTCCCGGGCCCATTCCAAATGGCCATTTTTAGCAGCCATGAAGCATGTTGAGTTGTCCCATGGGCAGCCATTTGTTCGGGCCCATTTGAGAATTTTCAGATGACCGAATTCGGCAGCTTGAGTACATGTCGCAGCATCCCAACGACAGCCATTTTCTCGTGCCCATTTTAGAGCCTCAACATGCCCACCTTTTGCAGCAGCAGAACATGTCAATACGTTCCATTGAAATCCTTTGCTGCGAGCCCACTCAAGCACTGCCAGCGTTCCCAACTCTGCAATGATCTGACAAACATCAACTCGACACGGAATCTTTCCTTCGGTGTGCCTGTCAAGGTCCCAGCACTCCGCACATGCCACACTGCTGAAAATGGCACTGTAGACGGTGTGCATGCTGGTTGCAGGAAAAGTACTCCCGGACGCGGACAGCTTTGCCATTGGAGGATTTTTGACTGTGTTGCAATACTCTTTGTAGAGCTGATTCATCTTCTTGTTGACAGGCCCAACAAAGGCATAGTGTCCCATGCCCAAAAAGTGAAAGATCCTCCCGACCCATACTAGTACATCCTTGCGATCAAAAATTGATTCAATAGGAGGGCTCAGCCTCAGCTTCTTAGACTGCCGCTCAGCCGACATGGTGTTGTCCACTGGCGTCCACGGATTTGTGTCTTCTCGTCGTCTCCGCCGATCCAAGAGGGTGACCCGTTGCCAAGTTGGCTCTTCCGAAGGCGCGCATCGAAAGTCTGTTGAAACGTCATTTCTAACGGATCGTTAGATTTGACACCGGGATTTGCGGTTGGTGAATGACAGGTACGTCAGTTCCAAATCGCACCGAGCTCCAAAACAGCTGACACCACAGTTTCCCATTGCGAACACAATCTGATGAGAGCCATCGTTTTCCTTCCCAATAGTAACCTCTTTGTCATTTTTCTTGGACGGTACCACCACGATGATGTTGACACCAAGAAGAAGAAGAACGCCTCTTCATGCCCTGGTGGTGGCTTGCCTCCTCCCCAATGCTGCCTCTTTCCTCAGCACGGACGGTTCCTTTCGTCCAACAACAAGTCGGGAGTCGGTTCGGAGGTCATCGTCTACCGAGAGTGATTTTGATGTCAGCTCCTTGCTGTATCAAGAACATGAAAAAATGCTCGTCGATCGTGGCAAGTTGGAAGGAGAGCTCATGGCCCACCACACATCAAGTATTGAACCCAATATTGTCAAGGGATCTGGAGGCGGAGGCGGTTTTGGCGGCACTGGTGGCACTACCAAGAGTCAACTCAAAGCACAAGGCAAAGCCCATGCCAAAGTATTGCGACAAGATGGAGTGGTCCGCATTGACAATGTCTTGCCCGGCTCCTTGGCAGACGAAATGAGAGAATTCGTCGTGGAATTGCGACAAGACAGTCACGAACAAGTCTCCAGTGGCAAACTCAAATCCAGAGAACGATATGCCGATGTCCTGTTGAAAGAAAATCGTTGTGATTTGACATTGCCCTTGACCAATCAGCTGACGGCCGATTGTCTTGCTGCTGTACTCCAACAATCGCCCGTGGGAGAAACCGTTGCCAATTTGTTGACGAAAGATGCCGTCTTGTACGAACTCAGTTGTCTGACATCCGATCCCGGCAGTCATCGACAAGTCATGCATCCCGATACTCCTTGTGCTGGCGATGATGATGATCCAGTCCTCTACACGTGCTTTGTGGCATTACAAGATATTCAATTGGATATGGGACCTACTACGTGGATGCCAGGGACACACACATTGGAGGCGCATGAACAATTCAAAGATGAAACGGTGTCTTCGTCCGAGACAAAAAGTCCCAAAGATACCTTGTTGGAAAAGGGACCCGTCGTCTTGGGGTTGCTACCCAAGGGATCTTGTGGGATCTTTGATTCGCGGTTGCTTCATTGTGGTGGAGCCAATACCAGTGCCGACAATAAATCCAGAGCCGTCTTTTACTTTTCCTGGAAGAATCCTCGTGACCAATGCGGGCAATCCAGGAAGTATTCGGCCGGCATACATCAATCAATACACTCTCCAAGCATTGGACAAGGAGTTGAAAAAGCATGTCAAGGGCAAATCAAAGCTGTTTGTCAACGATAGAAACTCGTTCGATTCTTGAGCAAGTACCGATATGTAAAAAGGGAAAAGAGTTCGATGCAATGCAGCCTGAGATGTTGCGAGTACGATTGTTGCAGCAAAGGAAGCGGAATGTACACAAACTGTAAAGGTAAAGCCAAGAGTGAATGAACCCCCTCTGAGCGAGCGAAAGGGCCGAGTCCAACCTGTAGGCAAACAAGAGGCTCCTACCTAGGAACCTCTTCAAAGTAGCACGAGCAGCGGCACTGTTACCAGAGCTCCATCCACCAAGTTACATAAAGTACTACTTCAAGAGTTACCGGTACGTCGTTACCGCGACTGTCTGCTCCTGTGGTTTTCTGCAAATTCAGATGGCGTCGAGTCCCGATGCCGATGAAACTCTCCCACTATTACGGTACCGCTTTGAACGGGGCTCGACCCACCAGAAGTGAGTGTATCGTAGCAATCTAGAACCGTTCAATACGCACCAACTGAACATGCCCTGGAGCGTCCATGGCTACGAAAGGCAAAAGTTCCATGTTGGGTTCTTCCGCCAAAAACAGGATTTTCATACTCGCACATGTGCCATAGACACTAGCCTTCAGCAAGGCAACCCCCGCCACTTCGTCGGGAAGATGCAGCGTCATGGTGACCGTGGAGCCCGAAGGAAACGAAATTCGGGACTTGTGTTGCAGTCGTTCGCAGGCCATGACCATGCCGTCGCTTCGAAACGCAAAAACTCTGTGTTTTCCTCCAAACACTGCCGGACGACGAGTCTTTTGACACCAAAAGGCAACACCGACGCAAAGACTATTGGCACCATCATCGAGAACTTGAATCGTCCAACGCAGTTTCATGCGCTTTTGAGTCTTGTCGGCGGGATACTCCAACACGTCCATACAATGTCCCTCCTTTGCTTGGGTGAAAGTGGACAAGGAACGTTTCCAAAAGGCAAGCCGAGCGACGGGAGGAATCATCCCGTACTGCTTTTGAGCAGCGACAGCTTGACTTCGGAATGCCTCGAGCAACATGTCTTGGTCCACCAAATCGGAAGTCATGACCAGCGAAGATGACAAGAATACTGGATCCATTCGTTCGAGGCAAAAGTGGTCAAGGACAAGCTCACGAGCCGATACTTGATCAATGGTCGAATGCTCGTACCACATATTCACAAGTTGGAAGAGCTGCTGTTGGTCTTTGGGTTGTCCTGCCGTTTCGTCCTTGAAGACCTCTTCCATTACGTACGAGGAAAGATCTCCCAAAAGGCAACCCGCGACTTCGTCCTTGAGACTGTCCAGACCGATGTCACTGGATTGAATCGTAGCCAAGGCACGGTCTAAGACTCGTTCTGGCACTTCGTCCACCCCATCGTCGAATTGTGCCAATACGGCGAGTGCCATCGCTGGGTTTGCTCGAAGGGACCGGTCCACGGCAAAGTAGGCTTTCTTACACAGCCAGTCAAGGGAAGGCTAGTGCAGTTCCCGTCAAGGCGACCAACGTGCGAACTCGCGATATGGCCTCGAAAGTCATGGACTTGTCGTCGTCGTCGTCGTCGTCTGTCGTGGATCGAGCAGGTGGCCGATCCATGTGAATGAACTCCACATGGTGTTCACCGCCTGACTGTTGTATGGAATGTCCACCGTCTCGGTTTTGGTAGTACCAAAGAGGATTTTCCGAAACTTTTCGCTTCGAAGTGCCAAGATGGACCGGTTTGCGCCGACCACGACGCCATCGTTGCAAACCAAGTCAACGTCGTGAAAGTTGTCGTCCGTCCAAAACGGAATGACGTCGCCAAGAGACTCATCTTTCATGCCTTTTGGTACGAGGCCTTCGGCTTCCATGGTCTCATTCATTGTTGACCGTTCCAAGCAAGCATTCAAGCAAGTACTCCAAAGTGTTCAACCTCCAAGAAGTGAGGTCGAAGCGAAAAGGGAAGACGTTTGTGCTCGAACAACGTCCGCAATTTGGGAAGATAGCTCATTAGGGATAAGGCTTATCCTGTTGAAGGCGCACGTCGGGAAATCCGCGTCCAACGTCACAGCAGAAAACAAGACGAAAGAAGGTCCTTGGTGTCAATGTTTGAGATGGCCCACAAGCCACAAACTGCAATGTCCGTTTGTCTCTTGGCTGTTCCAGGAATTGCACCATGGCGACCAAGAAGCAGCAACACGTAGCCCTTGTGATTCTAGCACTTTGTGTGGCTGAAGCTTCAGGATTCTCCCCATCAAGGTTTCGGTTTGGACGGCCTCTGGATGGTTCATTACGGGTGTCTTCTCAGGTGAATGGCAACAGCGCGGGTGCTACTCAACAACAATACAACGGGGATAACAGCAATGGCGCTACTAGTAGTGCACCGAGTATGAATCCCTATCGAACATACAGCGATTACCTATCGCGACTATGGAGAGAAACCAACCCACTCGCCAGAAAGAAAATTGCCGACAACAAGGAATTTCTTTCTGTCAAACACACCAGAGAC